TGTAGGACTTGCAGATTTGTGAGAATTCCTCTCTCTTTCTATTATACCATTCCTTTCCATGAGCGTGGGTAAGCTTACAATGTTGTTCCTTGAGCTAATGTTTTGCTGAGGCTGAAAAATATGTTTCAAAAAGTGTAATCGTGGTAGAATGTTATGGTTTGTGATTTATATACTTTCTAAAAATATGGTTTTCCTTTCTCATTATCCCCCCATTTTACCTCTTTCCTCTTCTATGATAAAGGATTTGGTTTTCAAATGTGTGTTTTCCAATGATTATTGCTTGTAGGTTAAAAAAAAGAAATCATCTAAGAATTAAACAATCAATAACTACAAGGTTGAAAGTAAACAAGGAAAATCCCTGACAAAACCTTCCAGAGATTGCGAGGATAAGATGCTTGGAATACTTCACAACAACAACAACAACAAAGCCTTAATCCCACTACGTGGGGTCGGCTACATGAATCCTTTTTATCCATTGTGCCCTATTTAGTGTCATATTTTCAATTAGATCTAATAAATTAAGATCAATTTTATACAATAAGTCCAAGTCTTCCTAGGTCTACCTCTGTCTTTCTCAACATAAGTTGAATCATCTACATTCCTAATCGGATCATCAGATGATCCTTGGACCACTTGATTTTAAATATTTAATTTTCTTTCAAAATATTTTTACCAAATGATTTACTATGATAGCATTGAGCACATGGATCCATTAGCTTTTGGAAGGGAAGGAGGGGGTATTTATAAGTCCATAATATCTTACAACGCCCTATAGACAACTACAAAGAAGTTTTGTCAAAGTAAACTTAGAAAATTTAGCAATTGAAGGTTATATGTATGGCGAGTTCAAATTCTAATGAATTTTGTATTGATCAATTTTATAATTGCTAATTGTTTGTATGTATCCAAAAAGTATTCTCTGGCTTAAAGTTATACCAAATTTTCTCCATAACATCTGCACAATGGCTAAACAGCCATTAATTTCCAATGACCAATGCGGCATCAAATTTTACCTTTGATCCCCAATCTTATATATTATAATGAAAAACTGTGTCCAGCTAATTAAGCATGATGAAAGTATTCTGATCAGGCATTTAGGAATAAAGAATCAAAAGATTCAAAACATAGATACACTCTACAAAAGAAAAGTTTTACTTTTCTACTTCTGCAGTATCAAATATATTGACAAGACAGTTCTGTTATGAACAACATTACTTAACAAAGGCAGAATGATCATTTATCCACAAACAACTGCAAATCAATTGGTTGTAAAAAACTACCTCAAACAGCCAGCCAGCTTATCGAGATAAACTGTTGATCAACTCTTATTAGGATAAGATGGATAAACTGCAGCTGCTCCAAACAGACCCTAAAGCTCATCCAGAAACCCTAACTAAAGTAGTTTAAGATATAAAAATATGTTTTATAGAAAAGTGGAGAATGGAAATGGGCTCATATTCATTTTCATTCAATCTAAAGAAAGATCCAACCACCAATTCTCAATCAGTGACAATTGAAGTAACGGTTACCCACAATAGATACACAGCCCATACAAGCTACTTCATTGCCACTGGATGAGAACATCGCACATCACTGAATCAACGTCTAATGAAGCTCCGCTCCAGAATAAGATTGATAAGATTGTCTTTCATGATAGATTTGATCATCATTGCCCAATCCATAAAGAGAGAAAATGATGACGAGAGATGCAAAGATTCTCAGAATTTATAGTGATGAAAATAAAATTAGGTTGAGTAATTTTTCTCACCACAAAGATGCACGGAGTTGTATGTAAGATACAAGTGGCAAAAATAAGTAGAAAAGAAGCATCTAAACCGCATAGTAAATGTGGAATTATACAAAAATTTGAGTAACAAGTATCATGAAGATAAAATCTATGAATTTTCACTGAGATGAATATAATAAAGCTATATTTAACCAAAACAAGCCAATAGCTAAAATAGGTTTATTCATAAATGAGATGGTGCACATCATGCAATTTTTTGGGGCATTTACATACATAAAACTAAAAACCTATCCAATTTATGTTTTTTACTCAGACAACACATAATATCTTCTCTACTTCTCTAAGAACTTAAACTTGCAACCACAATGCATATATGGGATGGTGCATCTTAAGACTGCTCAACACAACAGACAGAAACACTAAAGAACACCAAAACGGGAGAAAAATAAATGACAAGATTTATATTTTTTCCGTCACTAAGTTCCATCTATCTATACTTCACGTCGAAGCAGACACAACGGTTGTACCCAAGATGCCCTTGCCTATTTTTTATTTGGATTAACATCGGCCAGAATAATTTCCCGCAAGTGAGAAACAACATCAGAATAAATAATCTTTTGGGCATAAAAAATAACACTATTGACTTTATAAAAATGAAACATATCTTATCATGCACTCACAAATAGAGGATAAAACGGGATAGAGAGAGAGGAGAGACAGACAGTTAGAGGGCACAGCACTGAACAGTTGAATGAGCATAGAACAGTATTCATATGATGCTAAAGGACGAGGTGTTATACATAAGTATCAAGGTTCATGTCTCAAAGTTCCCAATAATGATTCAAATACTTTGATCTCAGCTCATGTGGGCTCAAATTGGACCATATTTGGCATTGTACAGAAAGTCATTACCTGAATCAGAGCTCCAGCACCAGGAAATTTGAGTTGAATCCGTTAGATGCCAGGACTAAATAAGCTGGTATTAACAATAAAAAGGAAGAGGAGCAGGATTTAAGATACTGTTGGATTCAAAGTCTTCATTTTGACTCATTGGCAGAACGTAGGCCAAACACTAGTAAAATACTGCTGAAATTGCACCACCACAAAGCCCCAAAAGCCCAAGCCAGACTTGTAAGCCCGTTGGGACTGCAGCTCGATAAGTGGTTGTTCAAGAGCTGAGGTCGATAAACTAACAAGCCAAGCTCAATCCAACCCCGACTCGTCAAGTTAGCTCATAAGCCAGCTTCTTTAAGAAAAAAATTAATATAAAATAATCTGAAATATATTAAAACAGCCAAAGCAGCCACAAAGAAACCCATTTTAGGCTCTGTTTGGCGCGGCTGCAGCTTCTCAGCTACACTGCCCCAGGAAGCTGCAGGGAACTGCTGCGGGAAGTAGACTGATTGTTTGTTGCAGCTGAATAAAAACAGTTGTGGGGCAATTGTTTCTAAAAAACTGACCGTTCTTCCCTCTTGTTTAGTGAATTTCTTTATAACAGAACTGTGACACAAGTTTATTTAATAATTTTGAAGCATAAATTCAAAATAATGATGAATTTATTAATACTTCTTAAGTAGAAATTCAAGATAAATATATTTTCAGAACAAAAAATAAGTGAGAATGAAATTAACATTCTCTTAACCTTGTTTAATTCTCTAAACTGTACAGTAACCCGTTCGTCTTCATGCGAATGATGATTACTTCATTTATAAAATGTGCATTTACATACATAACACACAATTCTTATACATAACACACAATTCGATGCCTCGAACATATTCTCAACAGTTTCAAGCTATCATAAAATGACTCATTTTTCCCACACCATAGGGTCTGCATTATACTTGCAAGCAGACAAAACACAATTTGAAGTACTAATAGCATACATTCATGTTGTGGATGATTATAGAAAGAACAAAACTTGGTGAAGAGTATTACATACTGCTTGTCAATATATACCAACAGTAATTCATTGAAAGGCAAAACAAGCTTCGATTACCAAAGAATACCTAAACCTGTTCCAGAGACGACAAAAGATTAACTTTATATATTTCCCCCATACTGAAATAGAATCTCTAAATTTAGGAGAGCATAAAAAAGGATGAACTATTCTGCAGTATCTTTTTATGCACAAACTGAGCTCAACTACTTTTTTTGTATGAAACTATGGACAATCTCTTCAGATTTTTGTATGGTTTAAAATTTTCAAGCACATTCACATCTAAGTCAGTATTTATTAAAGTTTCACCCCAATTCAAAGATAAATCCGTGAGTTTTCTGTTTTCAAATAATTTTGCAGTACAAGCCTCGCTAGCATCCTTCACATTTTCCATAAAATGTATTTTTAATTTTCGCAACTCGCTTGTATGTTCCAACTCTCAAATTCTATAGCCATTCTCATTTTTTAACATTAAACTCATTTAGTTCTTGAATTGACCTTAATTTCCCAATTCCAGGTGCACTAGTAGAAAATACATTCTTGGGCAATTCCAAGTAACGCAGATTAGAAAGATCACTCGCATTGCCAGGCAAGAAATAATCAGAGCAAAATCCCCAAAATAACAAAATCCCCAAAAAATCCCCAAAATAACTTGTTATAGATTATGAACTGCAAATGATAAAAACTGCTTAGAGATCTTGGCATATGAGTGAGACGTACAGCAAGATTCAAATATGGAAGATGTCTCAAATTTTTAATAGCCTCAGAAATCTTTTCATGACATAGAGACCATATGAACAACAAACGAATCCTTCTCGATGGTTCTTTCAGTAAGTATTTCAGTAAAACATTGATCATGTCTTTCACTGGTAAGAAAAAGAGAATATAGATTTTTAACATCTTTGATCATTTTCAGCACTTCTGGATTTTCAATTTTAACAAATGAGTGTCGAACATTTTTAGGAATTTTAAAAGATAAAATATTATCTCCCACAAATCCGAAACATTCCTCTGAAAAAATAGATTGTGCCAATTCACGTAATAAATCATGCATCTTATAATATGTTCTCATAATATTGAAACACATCAAAGAAAGATTTTCTGACCAAAACATCAAAATACCTTCCCCCAATATCTTCCAAAGTCTCTCCTTCAATAAGTCTCTCCTCTTCCAAAGTCTCTCCTTCAATAGAAGATTCCTGAATGAAACCCAATGCAATCCACATTCGGACTAAATTATCTATTATCAAACTGATGATCTTGTGGGATTACGCCACAAAATCCTTCCCCTCACCTCAACCGATGAAATTATTTTTAGGCAAGCATCCTGTTTCCAGATCTTTGCACAACTGAAGCTCCAGCTCCTGTTGTTCCTGCTTCGGGTTTTCGACGAGATGAAAGCTCCTGCTTTGCGTTTTCGATGAGATGAAGGAAAGTACTGACCTCAGCTGAAACTTTATCAAGTTTCTTCACAACCTTCTCCAGTCTCTTCAAATTGGGATCCGTCTTGAGAGCACGTTTGCCAATTTTCTTTAAAGAGCTGTGGAACGCTCAGCTGTAACATTATCAAGTTTCTTCACAACCTTGTCTTCAAATTGGGATCCAACTTGAGAGCACGTTTGCCAATTTTCTTTAAAGAGCTGTGGAACGCACCTTTTACTGCTTCTTGTTTCTGGTAAGCTGTTCTTCAAGTACTCAAAATCATCAAGAACATCATCTACCTCCTCGATGGCATCTCGTAGCTGCCATATCCAGCTGTTGAGTGTTGGGTTTCGATCTCTGATCTGTGCTTGAGTGGAAGCAGAGACGACAGCTTGGGCCTTCTGGTGGTTTTCTCGCCGCCTTTCGAGCTCCTCCTCCAAGCCCCTCTGCCATCTATATTGATCTTGCGGGTAATCAGAGCAAGCATTGATGATCGTATCCATGATTGGGCCAACAAATCATTCTGCCATGGCAAAGTTCAAGGCTCGATCGCTGGGGCAGCAAGGCTCGATAGTGAGACCAGGGAGTGCCGGAGCAGAGGAGGAAGAGTCGCTTGACAATGCAGGGCAGCAGGGTTGATCCCGCGGCCACCGGCCGCGAAAAACGGGGCCCCGAATGGAGCCTTAGTTTTCTTTAGATAGCGAAGTACCACTGATATATTTATACGTACCACCGGAGTTAGAATCACCATTATTTTGCAGCTTTAGTATATTAATCATTCAAAAATAGGTAAATAAAACAGAAAATGAGACAGAAAGGTGGAAGGGAAACTGGAAATCTCAAGCTCAAATTCGCCTTGATTCCATCAAACAACATACACAAACGCACTTTCTCAGCTAATGACACAAGAAAGCAGTTGTTCCATGCAGATGCATAGGTCATCCAAACTCCTTAATCGCCATTACACGAGTAGGGCTGTGAATTCAGCTCAAAGATCGTTAATCCCTCAAAAATTGATTGAAATTTTGACTCTATGAGTCAAATTTTGGCTCTATGAGTCAAATTTTGGACAATTTTTTTAAGAGCTGACCACAATTCAAGATCGAAACCGGATCATTCACAACTCTAATGATGTTAAAGTTGTTAATTTAGCTCGAAGATCATTAATTGCTAAGAAATTGATTTGAATTTTGGCTAGAATCAAGATTAGATCGAAATAAACGAGCTCGGAAAGCAACAAGGGGATGGAAGGTCACAAAGAGCTATGAAGCTCCGGGACTAAAGAACCTGTAGGAATTAAAGAGGACATTTTTTATGTTTGGAAGAAATTAGGCTAAATCATCCAAACAGACAACACATAATTATCCCTTCCTGCTTTTGGATCAGAAAAATGCCAAACAAAAATAGGGCAGGAAATGCGGGCCATCATTCAAAAGCATAATGGAAGAGCAAATCCATAAAAGATGCTCAACACAGTTAACCTAAGCAAGCATTAAAAAGGATGGAAAGACAACGCAAAGTCGAATACAAAGATTTGCCTCTGTTCCATCACAACGAAGATCCACCCATTTTTCAAACAGCATGACAATGATGGAAAGATTGCACAAAGATGCAGGAGTCATCCTAGAGCAAAAAGGCATTAATATGTCTAAAAAGCGCCATAAATTTCACTGGCATAAAAAGAGAACAAGAGCAAGTCACTCCATCTTCAAAGTTGTATTAAACTAGAAAGGAAAATGGGAGTCATTAACTAAAATTCACCATATTTCCAATGAAAAACAAACATATCCACATGATCTCCACCAATGACATGTGGACATCTACGTAGGCATAGGCCATCCAAGCTAATCCATCGCCATTGCATGAGATAAGCAGAGATTTCAGAAGAACCATGAAGAATTTAATCATCATTGACTAATCTCTCTCTCTCTCTCTCTCTCTCCCTCTCACATACACAGGGGGTATAAATGAGCCGCGATTGAGCAACCCCAGGCTCGGTTTGAGTTTAGCCCATTAAAAAATACCAATTTTCATCTTCGGCTCATTTATATAGCGGGCTCAATTTAATTATTTCAAGCCGAACATGAAGGAACAATTTTTTGTTCTTGTTCGGTTGGTTTGCTTATTGAATGAATCGAGCACGAGCTACTTAAAGAGCCAAACACGAGTAGTTCGCGAACAATGAGCCTTTTTAACAGCCCTACACACACAAGGAATTCACAGAGATATAATTTGAGTAATTTATCACCATTCTTGGAGATTCAAGTAGAGCTTTATTTTAACTCAAGTGTCTTGGTTGGTTTGCATGGGAAATTCCAAGACTTTTTTTTTTTTTTTTAGGAAATGCATTAGTTGCATTATTACTAGTTTGGAAATGCCAAAATAATAATTCAACCATTTTAAGGTTTTATCATGTCACTCTATACCAGCAGAAGATTAAGGAAAACTTACTTGAAAAAATCTTACTAAAATTTGGTTGGAAAAAGAGTTTAGAAATCTTACTAAAATTTGGTTGGAAAATAAGTTTAGAGAAGGGTGCAGCTGAAATTTAATTACATAAATACAACAGCAACAAGACTTTGCCCCCATGAAGTGGGGCCGGCGACATGAAACCTTTTTCTCCATTGTGTCCTATTGAGTCTCATATTTCATTTAATTCTAATAAATTAAAATAATGTTCATACAACATGCCCAAGTTTTTAGGTCTATCTCTATCTTTCTTAACATATATCAAATTAAAAATAATCTCTCCTAACTGGGTCAACAAATGGTTGACATTTAATGTGACCAAATCATCCAAGACGACCCTCTCTAATTGTGTTGACCACAGCAGCTACTCCAACCCTTACATGGATATTTTCATTTTGCATTTTGTCTCTTAATGTAAAATCACACTGGTGGCACTAAGCATTCTCCTCTCAAAAACACTCAACTTAATCTTCTGTTTATATTTTACAGGCCATTATTATGTGTCAAAGCATTGCAGGTCTCAACATCATCTTATAAAATTTTACTTTTAGGTCTAAGCTATGATCACAGAATAGGCCCGACGTATTCCTCCACCAACAATCCAACTTGAATTCTACTCATAAAATTCCCATTTATATCACCAATAAGCACAAAATAAATAACATCAAAAGCCACATAACGACAAAAAATCCAATATGGAAAAATATGCAGCTATTAAAACATAACCTCTAATAATCGAGAGCTGCATACTAAAGTTAAAGTCCTCTAAAACTGATCTGAACCCAAATCTGCATTCAAATTGTTAGCGATTAAATTAAAAAAATGATAATAAATAAATTTTTGATAAAATAAATATTAAATAATTATACAATAGTAATGTGTTTATTTGCAGAAACATGACTAAAAATCCATTTTGGACAAATATACAACTATTAAAAGATACCTCTAATAATCAAGAGCTGCAACCTAAAAATCATGCCCTCTAAAACTGAAATGAACCCAAATCTTCATTCAATTTGTTAAAGATCTAATTTAAAAATGATGATAAATAAATTTTTGATAAAAAAAAATTTGAATAATTAATAGTGCAGGAACCCTGTAATTGTACTTAGATGATTAGAATATACGTGAATCAACATAAAAAGAGTTGAAAAGATCAGATCAAAAGCTAAAAGGTATAATCATTCTGAAAAATAACAAAATTTAATTTCAAATTCTGTAAATTCTTCCAACCTAATTAGGAAACTGGGATGGATCCTTCCCTACTTATTTTAAGATCAACCAGCAACCCTAACTAAACTGGTTCAAGATATCAAAATATGTTTTATAGAAAAGTGGGGAATGGAAATGGGCTCAGAATCGTTTTCATTCAATAAACAGGCCGATCCAACCACCAACTCTCAATCAGTGACAATGGAAGTGGCGGTTACCCAGACAGAGGCACGGCCCATCCAAGCTACTCCATTGCCACTGGATGAGAATAAAACACATCACTGAATCAGCATCGAATGAAGTTCTGCTCTGCCATAGGGTTGGCAAGATCCTCTTTCAAGATAGATTTCATCATCCTCGCCCAATATATAAAGAGAAAGAAAATAAGAGTGAATATATATATATATACACACAGCGAGAGAGAGAGAGAGAGAGATGCATACCATCTATGCTCAAGTCACCATTATCATGTGGCATTATCATAATGGAACTTTTGAATCCAGGTAAAATAAAACACACACACACACACACAACAAACTAAGACAGATCACAAATTCTACCAAATTACAAATATTCATCCACTTTAAGGCACCAATTAGAAGCTTAAAATCATAGAAGAGAAGAAAAAATATACGGAAGAGTAGGCTTGTATTTGAAAGCAGAGATCCCAAAAGTAACATGAAGAAAGATGAAAGGGTGGATTTAAATTAAATCTATGAACAAATCCTGGTACTAGCATGCTACCAAACACTGCCGAATATAGATGCAAGTTGTATGAGGGGTTAAAAAATAAATGGGGAATTTACATACATACCACCCAATTCTTATATTTACATATCATACTCCTAAACTATGATTATTACATTTATAGCACCCAAATCTTTAATGTTAAATAAAAATAACCACTATTTTCACTTTTACAAAAGGAAATACACGCATTGCATTTCAGCATTGGACCCAAATCTTTAGTGGGAATGGGGCACATAAGTGTTAGATACGAAAAAAACGAAAGAATTGAGTGGTATGTTTCCCAAGTAGTTTTCTTCAAAGAGTAACACTCTCTCAATCCAATGGTGATATCAGGATTTAGGATTAATGGGTGTAAAGTTCTATTTACACAGCATTGAACTTTAGAGCTCCATCTAGTCCAATCAGCAAAAAGTAGGATAATTCCATACAAAGCACTTGAAACTAGAGCTGTCAAAATGGCTCGTTGTTCATGAACAACTCGTTTGGCTCGTTAAGAAGCTCGTGTATGGCTCATTCGCTGACATAACGAGCCGAACACGAACAAAGCTTTGTTCGTTCGTGTTCGGCTTGTTTTGGCTTTAAATATTACTCAACAATTATATATATATATATATATATATATATATATATATATATTGATGAATAGTATTTCTAAGAAAATTAATTGACTGCAAAACTACAAAGATTTATAATCAATTAAAAGTATTAATTAAGACGAAAGAATAAAAATTATTAAATTAGATTCAAAGAATGTTTTAATATAAACAATAATTTTTAAATCTTCCCCCATCCCTTAACATTTTCAGACTACGTGATTAGGGTTGTCAAAGCTACAATAAGGTTTTAATTCATCCAAGTAAAATTTAATGATTTCACATTAAAAAGCGGAGCTGGACACACACAAACAGCGAGGGAGGTAGGGAGGGATTTATGGATATAGTATAAGTAAAATTTCAGAAATTCATTACTCTTCTTGGAGATGCAACATAAGATTAATATATTGGGGGTATTTAGATACATCCTACCCAATTCTTAAATATTTACATACTTGACTTACATTTATATCACTAAA